ACAGGTCAGCGTCCAGTTGGTAAAATGCCGCCGGAAACCCGTCAAGCCCGGGACTCTTGTTTGGCGACATGCCGCGAATGGCGTCCGCCAGTTCGGGCGTCGTAAAGGGTGCGTCGAGTGCAGTGCGGTCGTGATCGGACAGCCGCTCGGTAATAAGACCGAGTAAATGCGTTTGCGCGGCCGCGTTGATTGGAGGAGGTGCGGCCGGTGCCATGATGGTGCGCCAGTGGTCGTTGAACGCAGCGTGGATAGCAGCGGGCGCTTCCACCAACGTACCGTCGCTCAGGAGGACCTTGGAAATCGGAACTTTGTACAAAGGTGGAGACAGCGGCGGAAGAAGAACCGCGATGACCGCTCGTTCTCGTTGGCATGCCAGTCGAACTGGCGGTCGTGGTCGCGTTGTTTGGCTTCGCGCATACGCAGATCGTAGGTTTCTTCCGCTGCCAGGTGTTCCGCGGCGGATAACAATCCTGTGTCAAAATCGTGGGCAGCCTGGAAGCGGGCACGCAACGTTGCTTGCTTGAATTTTTGCCGCTTGAGGTGAAAATAGTACTGCGCTTGCTTGAGTGGTCGTCGCGTCCGCGCGCAGTATGCTACCCACAGTTGGCCAGGGTCGGGAGGAGGTCCATCCGTACTTCGCATCGCGGCGAGGAGCGCGCGCGCTTCCGACTAGTTCATGGACCTTTCCATTGTAACATACTTGGTAATGCATATTGGATTTTGATGTGGGTCCCATCAAAAGTGGGAGGACCTTGTACTTCGTAGCCAGCGCTAAAACACTCTGGCAAGTTATAGAATTATCCGTCTGCTTATCGTTCAATTCGATCACTGTTAACAACTCTGGTCGCTTCACGAAACGAACAGGCAAAGAAATTGAACATTTGATCTGTCAAGTTTCTTAAGTGTACCGTAAGTGTTGCGCCCTGGCAGCCACGTGTTGGCGCGTAGAAAACAAGTTTTATGAGTTACCGACTAACGGGTTTGGAAGACTAGTGCTAGTATAACTCTTCACATAGCTATGGAGTTGTCTGTAAAAATGCATGGAAGCAATAAATACAAGCTTCCTCCCATGAAGTAGGATGCGTGCATTGCTGCCTTTGCGTCGTATAATTTCAAGTTTGACGCCTGTCTTACTAGAGCGCCTTGGCGCAAGTGCAAGATCGGTTGGGCGAGGAAGTTCACCTCGACACATTGGTCAAATCGTTTGAAATGGATACAAGAGAATACAATTTTTTTGCAACACTCCTGATGTTTTGAAGTTATAAATTAACCTAGTTGAAAGTCATCAAGTATACTCTAGTCCAATGAAAAGTACCTGACAATTTTTGTGGACCACAGTAGTATTCAATTCATTCGCAGCAGACGACGAAAGTAAGAGTTGATAATTTCGTATCTCATCGGATCAACTTCAAACCACATGCAATCGCTCTGGCTTGAGAATTGGATATTGCTTGCAGGCCAAAAGGCTTCGTGGGTCTGAGGTACGCAAATGTCAACATCTGTCAATGTGACTGGTCGTGAGCTCACCAAAGTTCCACGAATTAACCATACGCTGATCCAGCACAGATGGAACTGTCGCAGCCTTCGTGGGAACATGAAGGAGCTCTGCGATAGATACAACATCACTCGACAGACCGTGTCCAAGGTTTGGCTCCGTGGCCAGCGCTCCTAAGCCACGCGCGGGTGCGCTGACATTTCGTCAAAGGAGTTGGAGGGAGGAAGTATGGACAGGCATGACATGGGCGTTAAAGGCCGATGTGGAGGCTGGTCCCACACCGGCCAGATATTTGGCGCTTTGTCGGCTGCCAGCGGAATACCCGTCACCTCGCTGTGGCTACTGATTCATAGCAACATCATCCAACGAGAAACACAAGCTGCCTCAAGCCGAAGCTGTAAACTGAGCACAAGACATAGTGCTTCGAAATCCTCCAGCCCATTGTTCGTTCGCCTGCACAAGAGCAATAGGTAAGGGACGACACGATAAATCCGTCCACATCGATGAGAAGTGGTTTTACAGCACGAAGGCAACTGTAAGTACTACCTCCAACACGTTGAAGACGTTCCGCAACGGTTATGCAAAACCTAGGCTCACATCATTATGGTGATATTCATTACTGCCGTTGCATGACCAAAGTTCGTTCTTGCTAGCACGAGATATGGAATCGCAAGCTCTGGACTTGCACTTTCGCTGGGACGCAGCTCGCCGGAAGTACGAATCTGAGGCAAACCTGTCACAATTCTCATCACCGTTACGAAAGACATCATCCTCAATTGCACCTCCCCTCCATCCGTACCATATCTCCAGGATGGTGCAGCGATCCTAACTACATTCAACAAGACAACGCTTGACTCCACGTTGCTGCCAACGACCCGGCCGTCACAATCGCTGGTGCTTTGGATAGGTGGAACATTCGGCTCGCCAGTGAACTGCCACAGAACCTACGTTTCATCGTCCTTGAATTGACATTCTTCAATTCCATCCAGTCATTGCAGCAACAAAAGGTCACTCGTTGTGTTCATCAGAGGGTGAGTTTAAACAAAGGATACATGTGCACTTGATCCATCTCCGCACGCGCACGGACAAAAGAGTCGACAGCTGTGAGATTTGAACTCACGAGGGTTTCCCCAATAGATTTCGAGTCTATCGCCTTAACCGCTCGGCCAAGCTGTCTTACATGGTAGACGGGAGATATATATAGACCGTTCTACGAAACATAATGCATTTCAATTCTCAACCCTAACAGTGATTTTCCACATCACTTGTATTTCACATCATCACTAGTACCACTGTTGCTGTGACTGGTTATCAGTGTTTAACAGTATCTCCCACTCCAATGCAATATCATGCCGGCACATTGTCGATTTGGTGTTAATTCGCACACACAGCCAAGGCCCCAAACGTTGTCATTAAGTTGACAGTGAGATCAGGGCTTTTAAACGACCACTTCATCTTCGCAGCGTGAATCTGTGAGATCAGAGCTTTTGAATGACACTTCGTCTTCAAAGCGTGAATCTAGACGTAGTCTTATTGAAAGTCAATCCAGTTGGCTACCACGTCCACCAAAACTGCCAAGATAGTAAACCAAGCATTTCCACACTACTTACTGGAGCAGTGACGCAAGCTCACTTTGCGTCATTGGATAAAGCTTCCACACCGTAACAATTATGCTACTACCAGCCCACCTCGAGAAACGAGTTGGGTGTGAGTCATCCTACCACCGCCAACATTCTTCGGTTCAAAAACGTTTGTTCTTCCTTGCGTAGGTCGTGCCAGTGGTACCAGAGTATTGCATACCGTCGTGCTCGTCCAAGTTGAACTTATTATCATCTAAAAAGGCAACAGTCAACCGATTTGGGCCATATTTGGACCAAAGTCGACATGGCATCTTGCCCAATCAACGCGTGCTTGCTTGTGGGACTTGGTAAGTCGTGGCGTGGCCTTACGATACTTGTACAGTATTTGATTACTCCGCTGTAGCTCTCGGCGAATGGTACTTGACGAGGCGCCTAGCTGCGGGTCATCCATGGCTCTGGACGAGCTGCTTTTGCCCTTGGAAGCGAGACGCACAACACAACAAACATCCCTGGCACTCAGTTTTTGTGGCCTTCCAGGGTAAAAGTCTGTCCCGAACGCGTCTGAGTGCTTGACGTAGTGAGCTACCGTCGTTTTGGATAGGTAAGGCTATTGCTCGATTCTCCGAATGGACAAACTTGCCTGACGAATGGCGAATATTGCACCGCGCTCTTCACAGCTCATGTGAACGCCTTGAGCCATCTAAGTCGTTTATATGATGATTTTTTAGGCTGCAGAATTATTATGGCTATTGCATCAGACGTTTAGATGTGCCTGGATGTGAAAATTGAGTACTTAGACTGAAAATGTTCACGTATATTTACCCCTTTACGAAACATTCACGAAACAGACTCCTCAAACTGTGTGTACCTACGTGGCGCAGGTTTGGCATTGTGCTTTTCCTCCAGCAGCCACGACCATAGCTCCCACGACGACGCAGAATGGAGTCACCGAACGCATCTGTCGCATGGAGCGTACTGTGCTACCTGTCATCATTGTTTCGACTTCACGTTGTATTTCGACTACGCGCTCAGTGTAGAGATACTTTATTGCGCTTTGGGCGGCGCTTATGGTGGCGAACGAGTTGTATTGGAGTGGAATGGAGTCGGCGCCGAGGCGATTTCTCTTGATGCTAGAATGTTGTAACATGGCCTTACATACCGACACACTGAGGAGTAGAATTAAGGCTCCTCCGACTACACACGACGGGTGATCCTTTTCCAGCCAACGTGTCAAACGTGCAATCGTCTGTCGTATTGCCTCCTCGTGCTGTTTACCACGCGGAGAGCAATTGTGTCGTCGCCCGGCTCCACAGTCGCATTGTCCTCACTCTGCTTTCTCTTTGCGGCCATCGCCAAGTGCCTCCGACTGGAAGATATGTTTGTTGTTTTGACGGACTTTCGTGCATCACCGTTCGTCAGGATGCAGTTGCAGTAGCGTGGGGTGTTGTTGGTGGATACTGCGGTACAACGGATGCTCCAGGAGCTCGTGCATCAGTTGTATCAGGGCATCGCGACGCACACTGTCCTCGTGGAGAAG